TATCGCTACACTACACTTCTCTGCCCACTTCGTCTTCGGGCACACTGCAGACCTCCTCGCACAAGCTGCTAAGGCAGCACTTCCGCATGGCATCCACAGGAATGAATGAATGAATGGCTGGACGCAGCCTCTTGATTTATACTTCTGTGCTGCGTTGGTCTGCCCTGTATCCCTGGCCCATGGTGCACACAGTCCCCCCCGTGGTACTTGCTGGACCGGACTGGTACTTTCTAGACTCTCCCATGACTGCATGGTGACTACCCTACGACGCAGTGCAGTTGCACTGGGGTCCTACTATTTGCCCTTGCCACTTGTCCTCGTCTCCAACATGGGCTTGCTTTAGTCACACCACTTGCCCACTTGCCTGCACCACTTGACCACTTGCCAAGCTTCTAGAAGGACTGCAGCTAGCCTTCTAATCTACAGGTCTACGGATCGAATCCTGGCTACCTATAGACCTACGACAGACCTACCTACCACTGGCGGTTCTACAGGTCGCAGGTTCAACTCTTCGAGTTGACGCAGGTATTGTACACAGGTAAGTTGGGGAACTAGGGATCGAGCCCTGAGATCTGCCTCAGCTACCACGAATTGGTGAATACCGTTTCACAGCTGCTCAGGCAAGCGTTATAGCGCATGCCTGCTGATGTGGCAGACACCATTGCTCACGAGGTTGACACCTCATGCTGATGTGGCACACAACCACCGAAGAGAGGCCAAGGCTGATGCGGCAGGCAGCCATTGAAGACAGCATCGTTGCTGACTAGGCACGTTGCTGAACGAAGCACTGCTGACGTGGCAACTGGAGGTCAGGCCAGTGGAGAGAAGGCCTTGCATGTGTGGGATCAGGCTGGCGGTACAAGCAGCAGACATTGCTGTAGCGGCATGCGTCTGATTGCATGCCTGGCCAGACATCTGCAAGGAACAAAGATGAGAGGAATAGCAGCTAACTTCGAACGGATGTACTGTGACTATTGTTGTTGACGTGGCATGTTGTATACTTACCTGGTGGGCTGTTGTGTCTTCTTGATTGCGCGGACTAACCTTGTTGTGTGTCTTGATCACACCGTCCGTGGCATAGGACCTCCTTGCAGAGTCCCTCAATTTAGAAAATCGTTAGTCATTGTTAGCAGGAGGATTTTCGCGCCGGTAGCGCTAACGGCCGCAGGGCGCAACTGCGGAGTATCAGCGCAGCCTGTCGGTCTATGCCAGTCGACTGTCTGGAGGTCGGCCATCGCCGCATGCACTCTGGTTACCATGGCGGAGGAGAGATGCATGCGCACGGCGTTGTGTTCCTACACTGGGTGTTGGACTGAGGGTTCCGGAGGTGAGCGGGTCACACGCGGGTGAGCTCGAACGCGGAGCGCACACCACACACACGTGGGGAAGACTCGCACGCGGACTTGGGCGTGAAAAAGAGCTACGAAGGCAACATCAACGGAAGGAAACTGCAATTTCTGGCGGGACAGCGACAACGACGGAACGACAGGGATAAAGTTGGGGAGGCAACAACGACGGGATGTTGGGGTCTTTGCACGTGTTGACCCAATCAGGTAAAGAGGGGGAGATCTAAGCAAGGGGGGTCGGGGCGAGGAGGAGTTTTGGACACTTCAGAGAGGATCCGCACGCAGGAGAACTCGGAAGTGGAGCACACACTACGCATGCGAGTGGGATCAGCCGGAAAACGTCAACAACAGGAAAGGGTGGTGGGAATGGGACGGCAGGGAATTCAAAAGTGTCGACTAATCAGGTGAGACGTAGATAACTAGACAAGGGGGCAGTGACCTTGCGGAGTGGTACAAAGGGTAGGAATGAGGGTTGGGTGGAAAAGGTAGAAGTGCAAATTTTAAAGACGAGAAGGGAGTGAAAACGAGGGCAAAAAAATCTGAAACTGGAAGGGCGAGGAGAATGGAATGAGGGAAGGACAGAGAAGAAGACAAGGACAAGACAAGGAGATAAAAAGCTGGAGACGAGAACGGGACAGATTAGGGAGGAGAAGGAACGATGAATGGATGGAGAAGGTAGAAGGGGAAGAAGATAGGGGAGAGGAGAAGAGGAACACTGCGGCGGCTCGAGCTGGACGGATCGTGGCGTCCTCAGGCAAACAGGTAAGTGATCACTGGTTGCGCTGACGTGGAGTGAGTGTCGACATCGTGATTGGGCAAGGCCGTGAGTTACCAGGTCTGGACCAGGCGCGAGTTGTCGATGACTATTGACACAAGGACAACTACAAGGAAGGGTGGTACACGCGCATAGAGTAGGGAGGCCCGGAAGGGGAGGGGAAGGGCTCCATAGATCGAGGGGGGAAGAGGGGAGGGAGCAGGGGCAAGAGCTACGCTGAGTCACACAAAACCGTAGAGGGGCAGGGAAGGGGGGGAAGAAACAGGGAGTGGTCCCTCATTTCATACATCGGGCGGGGGAAGGGGGGAGGGAGCAGGGGTAAGAGTCACGCGGAGACATCTAAAACCCGTAGAGGAAAAGGGGAGGGGGGAGACAGGGAAGAACTGAGGAGAGTGAGGGTAGAGCAGGGAGAATAGGAGGGCGAGGGGAGGGCGAGGGGAGGGCGAGGAGATTGAAGGGGTTGGAGGAGGTGGGGCGAGGTGACAAACAGGGACGAGCTTGCGACAAAGTCGGAACGCAACGCTGGAGTATAGGAGGGCGACGGGGCAAATAGGGACGAGCTTGCCATGAAGTCGGCTCGCAACAAG